ACAGACAATAACTCAGCCCACCTTGGGAGCAAAGTAGACAGCCTTGAGTGATATGCTCCCAGACCAAGAAGCTGCTTTCTTGGGAGGAAATCAGAGCAGTAAATTTCTTGAAAATAACCCAGAAGACTAATAAGAAACTTAATGTTTTTTCAAAGATAGACATTTTGAGACCACTGAGCAGGTGTACATCCCTAGCCCTTGTTTCTCAACTGCTGATAAAACCCCTAGACCATGCGCTCTGTCCTCTTTTTCTCTAAATAAAAATCTCTGCCTTGCTCTCCTAAAAAAACCCCAAAATAATAAAATAAAATAAAAATAATGGTAAGGAACACGTCTGTTATTCATCGCTCCACCCCCCTTAGTGCCTTGTGCAGGCCCTGCAACATGGTAGATACTCAATATTTGTTAAATTAATGAATGATGAGGATGGAAAGGGAAGACTCTATAAATAAATAAGAGAACCTAAGACAAAGATTTACAAAGGCCAGTGTTTAATTTAAAGAAGCAAGGCAAAAAAGAGAAGTAGCCAGGAAGAAAATGAGAATCATCAAGATAAGAAAACTCAGCACAAACAAGCAAGATAAAAATAGCTTCTCGCCACTGTCCTTTTAAAATTACTTTCTATATTTGAGCCTAAGTGACAAGTGAAATCTCCTCTGTAATTTCCCAAATGTTCTAGCAAATGTTTGCCGGATTGGAGGGCCAATTTGGCCATTGTGGGGGTGGGATGGTGAGAAAATGAGGGGTATGGAAATAGACTAACTGAGCCTAGAAGTCAAATAGAGGGATGATTAGAGGCATGTGAGGAGGGAGCCAAGTCTTGGAACTTGCTCAACATCAGGAAGGACTGGGAATTGGTCTTGCTCTAGCTCACGTCATGACAGTGTTTTCCTACACGCTATAAAGGGAGCCTAGAATCCCAAGATGCCTTACAACTACTCTTTGTACCACATTGACTGTCTTCTAAAGAGCTTTATTTGTTTATATAAAGGGCATTATATTAATTCAATTTCAACCCTTGGAGGGACTAAAGAGACTGTCTCTTTCAGGTCCATATACCTTCTACCATAAATGTTGAACTAAAGAGTTAAAAGAGAGACAAGTTAGGAAAGGGAAAAATGGGGATGCACAGTCCACCCCTTTGCAGCTATTTGTACTGCCCATCCTAATGCATTAAGTGTTTTGTACACAAAGGAGGTTTGAGAGGACACAGCACCCAGAATTAAGTCCTTTCTCATGCTTAAAACTGGCATTGATGATGAAGACCACAATTTTAATCAAAATTACAAAGCTTTCAGGTTCCCAAGTATGCTTTTCATTGTCATGGTTTCAACAGCTTTATTGAAATAAATAAGCCACAGACCATACAATTCACCCATTTAAAGTATAAATTCAGTGGTTTTTGTTATATTCACAGATATGTGTAACCATCACCACAATTATAGAACCATTTCACCCCCTCAAAAAGAAACTGAAATCTTTGGCTTTCACCCCATCCTTGCTCTCAGGCCTAAGCAACCTCTCTACTTTCTGTCTCAATAGATTTTCCTATTCTGCACTTTCATATGAATGGAATCAAACAATGTGAGGGCTGGCTTCTTTAACTTAATGTAATACTTTCAAGATTCATTCATATTGTAGTATGAATTAGTACTTTGTTCCTGTTTATGACCAAATAATTTTCCACTATGTGGTTATACCACATTATTTATCCATTTGTGAGTGAATGAATATTTGGGTTGTTTCAACCTTTTAGTTAGTACAAAAAGTGCTGCAATGAACATGTATATGGACATACATTTTAATTTCTTGGGTATATACCTGGAAGTAGAATTGCTGAGTCATAAAGGAACTCTATGTTTAATCATTTGAGGAACTGCCAGCCTGTTTTCCAGAGGAGCTCCACCACTTTACATTCCCACCAGCAATGTATGAGGGTTCCAATTTCTCTATATCCTTGCAAATCCAACCGTGTTTAGGGGAAATAACAAGGGCTACTGCCAGCTCCACTCTACCTTAGATAGCTACTACAGAGCAGGGGCAAGAGGGGCAAGGGGTGAAGGAGAGGTCCCTCTTCTACCCGAAGCGCTCAGGATTGGCCAGAGGGAATGCTGCTATCTCTAGTACTCTCCCTGGCTCCCCAGGCTAAGTTAGCTGCCCTTTGACATATGCCCAAGGATACCTATTATACCTGTCATTCTTCCGCAGAGACTGTAAGCTTTAGTGGGGCAGGGATCCCTATTGCTCTGACTTGATCTGTAGCTCCTGCCTGACAGGGTCTGGCAAATGCAAGATGCTCAGTAAATGTTGATTGACTGACTGAACAAATGATTAAATATTTCTCTACTAGTAGTTCCTGTCTAGGGAGGAGAGGAAAAGAGCAGTCACAGGCAAAATGCATCAAGAAGCAAGGAGAGGTTACATGGAGGAGAAAGGGAAAAGCAGGCAAGAAGGTTGGGGACCTAGTGTCACTTGGGGCCAGCCTTTCAATTACGAGGTCAACTCAGAACTCATGGACCTACCCTCATCCTTTGCCTTTCATCTGGATGCATTTTTTTTTTTCTAGAAATTCTCGCCTTTCTTTTTTTGTTATTATTTCTAACAATTTGTCTTTGCAAAAATAGGAGACAAACAAAAAAGTAGAAAAGTATTACAGGTAAAAGACCACATAAATTAACTTACCAAAATGAAGTCGGATTTTAAAAGGATAGAGGTTAAGAAGGTTGACTGTGAATGATTTTTTTAATGAAGAAAAATAGATATCATAGATCAAAGAAATCATAATTTAGGTATTCCTTCAAAGGACACGGAATGGCCTATACCTAAAAAATGTGACCTCATTTTCAATATGACATGAGAACACGGCCCACTGCTTAGCCTTACTCATAATGGCTGGCCTTCCCTCCACACAAATCCTCCCTTCTACCTGAACTAATCTGTGAATCCAGTGGTCACTAGGTTAGTTGTCTCTCTCTCCTGTAAGGCCCTGTATCTCCCAACCTCAGTCACTTCCTGTCTCTTCTCTGAAAGCACACACGCACACTTTCACACAAACCTTATCTTTCCTTTTCATGAATCCTCGGGGTATCTCTGCTCCATTTTGTGCGTTTGGAAGGGAAGAAAGCAAAATATATGAGATGCCACTGCAGTTTCTCCTTCAGCAGAGCTCCACAGAACAATTACCCACCCAATCTGCCTGGTTTTATAACTCTCATAACCCTCCTTTATGAACACAATGTGACAGCTGGAGGCAGGCACTGATTATGGCAGCAGCCTGCAGCCACATTTCTATTTAACTGCAAAGCAGAGCTCCTGCCTACCAGCCCAAAACAGATCATGTGACTTTTTTAATTACTGTATTTACATAAGCCTTTCCCAACCACAGCCTGTGTACAGCTCCATCAAAACTGGAGAGGATTTGTTCATACCGCTTCTTCAGTGGCTCCCTGGCCTTAGAGCCTAGGGTCTCTTGATGGAATTAATTTAGGGCTCTGGGCTTTCTCAGCAGAGGTCTCGAGGGTACACTGTTACTACACCAGGATGCCAGCATAGTTGTTTATCCATTAAGGTTAAATCCTAAGGAGCATGACTTGGTAGGGAGATTGACAAGATGCACATTTTTTTCATTATGAAATAGCTGAGAAAAGATAATAAAACATGTTAGCAGATGCCAAGGGCAGTGGCTGATTCCAGGGGCTCACCTGGCAAAGGTGCCAGATGCAATAGATCAGCAGAGTGGTAGGATGCTGGGGGAGCTAGGCAGGGTGATGCTCTAAAGTTTGGGAATGAATTTAGGAATCACTGCAGCCAGGCCTTACCCGTCTAAGCCCCAGCTTCACCAACTGTTCAGCAGGACAAAACCATGTTGCCACCATCTAGTGGGGGAGGGAAGTTTTAGTGTTTTTAAAAGACGCTGGTGACCGGTGGGCAATCTGTGCAGACTAAGGATGTGGCCTCATTGGTTGGTTGTGCCACGATGCAAGTCACATCTGGCAGAGAACGCCAGTAGTCTTTAGCTGCTGCAGCTCAGCTAAAGATCCCACAACGGGGAAATTTTTTTTTTTTTGAGAGGGCATCTCTCATATTTATTGATCAAATGGTTGTTAACAACAATAAAATTCTGTATAGGGGACTCAATGCACAATCATTAATCAATCCCAAGCCTAATTCTCAACAGTCTCCAATCTTCTGAGGCATAACGAACAAGTTCTTACATGGTGAACAAGTTCTTACATAGTGAATAAGTTCTTACATGATGAACAGTAAGTACAAGGGCAGTCATCACAGAAACTTTCAGTTTTGATCACGCATCATATACTATAAACAATCAGGTCAGATATGATTATTCATTTGATTTTTATACTTGATTTATATGTGAATCCCACATTTCTCCCTTATTTTTTATTTTTATTTTTTTCAATAAAATGCTTAAGTGGTAGGTAGATGCAAGATAAAGGTAGAAAACAATTTAGTGCTGTAAGAACTACGGGGAAATTTTTCTAGAAATTTCTAGAAAAGTGTTCCCACAGGGTTAGACTATTGGAGTGAAGGGCATAATACACCCCAAAACCTCCTAGAGAGGTCGCGAAAACCAAGCCGATCTACGTGGGTGGACGATCCATTAGCGAGTGACAGCGCTGCTGGAGAAAGCCAGAGAATCTGTGTGGGAAGGGGAGAAAGCGTGGGCTGAGCCTGCAGTAACCGAAAGGCGCCACAAACGTGAGAAGCGGCGTCCCGGGGGCGGGGCGCTCCGTGCGGGCAGGCAGCAAGCGCGGCACGAGTAGGACACACCAGGGTTTCTTTACCGCTCCGCACGCAGAGCCCCTTCCTTCCGTAAGTAGAGAACAAGTGGGATGGGGACTCAGATATATGTAGCCCTGACCCAGGTTCCACCCCTTCCCCTGCGGCGTCCAGCTCTCTCACGGACCACGCTTTCTCCAGCCGCTGCGCTCAGTTTTCTCAACTCTCCTTTTCCAGGGCGGGGCTTTCCGGGGCCCCGCCCGCTTTAAGCCCCGCCCGCTGGCCCCGGAGCGGACCTTTCTCCTGCTCGCGGCCGTCCTTTCCCACGCGGCCTCCGCCGGGGCCGGAACGCCGAAGCCGAGCTCCGGACACGTGCGGGTGAGTAAGGCCCAGGTGGAGAGAAGCCTCGGAGGTTAGAAGCCCCTGGCGAGAGGCAGCTGTGGGGAGGCTTCTTCGGAAGCACGGGACGAAACTGGGGTTCGTTCCCTAGTGATCCCGGGTTTGGAGGGCATCTTGAGAGACGCTGGGACATCGCAGCCCAGGAGTCGGCCTTCCCCAGTTTTCTACCATCCCTCCTGTCCCTGAAGTCACCTAGAGCAGGTCTCAGATCGGAACTCCTTGCTCCAGGGCCACGGACTTAAGAAGATTTGGTGATGAACACGTATCAGGGTGGAGCTTGGTCAGCCCCCTCAGCCCAAGTCCCTGAAGGGGCAGGCTATTTTAGATTGCTTTTTAGACCTGAATAAGAAGTCCCTTTCATTTTCCTTTTCCCTTAAATTGTTTGGAGGCGGTTAGGAGTGAAATTAGAGGATGACTGAGAAAAGGCATGATCTTCAGATAATACCGTAACCTTCAAAAAAATAGGGTAAATTATAAGGGTGAATGGGTAGGAGTATTTTACATTCTTGCAAACATTCTGGTTATTGCTTTCAATCAGTAATTGAGGTGGTTGCTAGAAATGGCAACCTCCTTTCCTTTCACACCCATTATTGCATCCAGTTATTTTTTCTAAAGTGCTGCTTTTGTTGTTCTTTGAGAGGTCCCATAATTGAGGCCCTCAATCTAGTTTTAACCAGCCTTTGCAGTTTTTACTGCCCATTCCCCTCCCAGGGTAATCGTCCCTCTTTTCTCATCCCTATTCATCTCTTTGCCTGGAATGTAGCTCCTGATAACAGCAAGTTTTCTGAGTGCCCATTCTATACCACTTATTATCCTGTGGGCTTAATTTATATTCCATTTAAATCTTCCAAATATCCTGTGTACAGAGTACTATTAATAACAACATACCCATTTACAAGTGAGAAGACTGAGATACAGAGAGGTTAAGTTACTTGTGCGCTTGGCTTTTAAGTGATAAAAGTGAAGCTTCCTGGCCCTTGTTCACTAAACCACCAATTTTCCCCTGTTGAACTGCTGTGGCACAGAAATAATAACATGTGACAAAAAAAGTTTTCCAAGAAGCTGTTTATTTTATTGCCTGCCCTCATATTTCTGGGGCTCAGGCCCCACCACATTTTAGGGTTTTGAGGGCAGGGGTCTTGAACTCCTCACAAGTGTTCACTGACTGTTGGCTGACTCTAACTTGGAGTGCTTTGATTGCAGAGGGGCCAGCTGTGTACTTTGGACAGATGCAGCCCCAGGTGAGTACAACTCCATTAGCCTATCTTTGGCCCCAGCCGTAGGCAGCTGCCTAGGTTGCCTTGTACCTAGGCAAGTGTTACACTGCTGGGAGAACAGCAGCCTGTAGCTGGTTGGCATTCTGGGCTTGGTTCATGCCGACTCTCTTGTTAACTATACCAGGATGCCAGCATAGTTGTTCATCCATTAAGGTTAAATCCTAAAGAGCATGACTTGGTAGGGAGAAATCTAAAAATCCAGATCCTTCTGAGTGGTTCTGGTTGAACAGGTTTGACTAGTATGAAGTTACTTGAATCACACCTTGGAAACAGCAAAAGTAAATAAAGCCATGGAAGAATTATAAGTAGAGGGGGAAAGTCAGGCTCTTATTTTTTGAATGCCCAGCAAGTGCTCACAAGAGGCCTTACAGAGGGAAGTTGATGGGATTTTTTGCTAATTTCACTGAAATTAGAGTGCATGGCTCCCACTCCCCCATCATATAAAGTTAGTCAAGATGAAAGCTTGGCAGAAGGATTTCAAAGCTGTTATATTTATAGGAATGCTTTATTTGGGAAATGTTGATGTGAATTTGCTTTAAAAGTATGGGCATTCTTCTGTGGCTCTTTAATAAAATATAAAAGCACCAATTGGTGGGCTCTAGGCAGTAGGCGTAGCAACAACTACAGATTTCTGCTTAAGGCTGACAGTTTATTTGTGTTCGTCTTTCACTGATTTTCAGAAGTGAGCAGAGGTATTGCCCTTTTGGAGCAGTAGGTATTGAGTCACCTTTGTAGTGGTTTTGCTTTTGGATTGCTAGTTTTCTGAGATGCTTCTCAGTTCTAAGCAAACATTTATCACTCAAGGTGATAGCTGGAGACTCCCAATAGGGCTGACTTAGTTGCTGCTTCTGTGAAAAGGGACATGCTAGTTTCCATAGGAAGAACTGGTGAGGATGTTGGAAGGTGGGGGAGTTATTTATCAGAGCTGGTTTTGTTCTATCATTTATTTGGCTTTCCCTTGAAAGGATCTCCTAGCTAAGTATTGAGTGCTTTGTGTGAATACCTCATGTTCATTGTGAAGAGCCTTTTACATGTCAGGTCTTAAGACTAGCAATATCTAGAGAGCTTGGGTGATGGTTAGCTTTAAAGGTAATCGTGGGGAAGAAAAAGGCAAAATGGGAAATAAAATCTTGAGGGTATTAAAAATATGTTAAATCATAAATGGCAGAGAGCATTCTGTTTCCATCACTATGGAAAAGCAGCCTTACAAGCTGCTGTTTTTTAATCTGGGGTGTTGAACAGTAAAATCTTTTTCTTCTTAGGATGAATTGAAAGGAGGGCATCCTTGGCCCTCCTGAAGAGAGGAAATTAGTGGCAAGTGGCCGTCTGTATATGGAGTTTTCAGGTAAATGTCTCTGTTCATTCCAACATTGACTACCTTCATGCCAGGCCTGTTTGCTAATTGGTGTCCATCAGGAAACAATTCAGAGGTAAAATCACTTATATTTGCCCCCACACAAATTCAGGCTCTGGGCAGTGAAAGGCTGAGTGGAATTTTGGCAGTTATAGTCTGAAAGCATTTAGGATTTTGGAGATTATCTGTATCATTCCATCTGAGAAATTTATAAGAAGTTGTATATTCTGCAAAGGAAAGGATAATGTATCCTGCCTAGCTCACTGCTAGATCCCAAGCGTAGCAACTGGCACATGGCAGGAATTCTGAATGTTGGATATAAAATGACTGAAGGCACGGGAAAGATTCCTGTTAATGTATTTGTTTAAAGGGTTTGGCAGCAGGGGCACTTAGTGCTTCCAGGTCTCTGTTTTGCAGTTAACATTCATTTTATGGGGATATCTGCCTATGTTTTCTACCTAGGGTGCTTGGGTATCTGAAACAAATAAAGCTGTTCAGGAGTCATCCAGCGGTTGTCAGCTGTCCAGGCTGCTATGATGCCTTGGATGGTGTTACACTGTTGGAAGAGCAAATGCTGCCTTTGTTGAGGGCTGGCTTCAAGCACTGTTTTGGTGTTGTGGCTGCGTACCTTTGGGCAGTGTTTTGTACCTCTGAGAGTGGAGTAACTCCTCCTGTGGAGTTGGTCCTAGTCTGGGTGCAAACAAATTTTTTCTCTTAGAAAAGGTCCCTGTATTTCTATAGCATCTTACTATGCTGATGGACAGTGACTGTAATGGGATATGTGGGGGTGGGGGGGCTTGATAATAGGGGAGTCTAGTAACCATGATGTTGTTCAAGTAATTGTACATTAATGATATCAAAAGAAAAAAAAGAAAAGAAAAGGACCCTGTATTGTGCTCAATGAAATAAGCCAGGCGGAGAAAGACAAGTACCAAGTGATTTCACTCAAATGTGGAGTATAAGATCAAAGAAAATGAAGGAATAAAACAGCAGCAGACTCACAGAACCAACAGTTACCAAAGGGAAAGGGACTGCGGAAGGTGGGTGGAAAGGGAGGGAGAAGGGGAATAAGGGGCATTACAATTAGCACACGACATAGGGGGGCCACGGAGAAGGCAGTATAGCACAGAGAAGACAAGTAGTGACTCTATAGCATCTTACTACGCTGGTGGACAGTGGCTATAATGGAGTATGTGGTGGGGACTTAATAATGGGGGGGGGGTCTAAAAACCACAATGTTGCTCATGTGATTGTATATTAAAGATACAAAAAAATTCCTTAATAAAAAATGGAAAAGAAAAGGGCCCTATATTAGGGACAGCCTGTCATTCCTTTCCTTTTTGAATCCCAGATGCCTTCACCTGAGTGACGAACTTGCTCCATCAGGACCTCAGATGTCTGACAGCCCCGTGTGACATCAGGATAAGTAACGTGTATTTTTTTGTCATGTAAGTTCTACTTAACTTGCTTCTGCAAAGATGGGTGAAATAATAGAAAAAGCATATTATTGGTCTCTGCTCCCATTCCTGACACAGAGCTCCTAAAACCCTTGTAATTTCCTGTGATGAGTACTAGGAACATATTTTTTTCTAATGTTTGGTCTTTGACTCTGGTTTCTGACACTGAACTCCTAAGTACCATAGCATTTCCTTGGTGATAGGAATGTCTGTTGTTCTAACGAGGCTGGTAACTGGAAAGATGAAGCAAGGGTTGGAAACTTGATATTTTCAGGCCCACCTCCATTCTCCAGAAAGGGGAGAGATGGGCTGCAAATAGAGTTAATTGATCATGTCTACATGATGACGCCTCCATAAAAATCTAGGTATTATGGGGTTAGAGGACTTCTAAGATGTTGAACACTCAAAGGTGCTGGGAGAGTGGTGCACCCAGAGAGGGCATGGAAGTTCAGCACCCCTTTCCAAATGCCTTGCCTTGTGCTTTTCCTCCATGTAGATATCCATCTGTATCCTTTTATAATAAACTGGTAAACAGTAAGTAAACTTCTGAGTTCTATGAGCTACTATGCAAATTAAACTCAAGTTGGGGGTTGTGGGACCCTCTGATTATAGCTGATTGGTCAGAAGCACAGGCAACCTGGGCTTGTGATTGGCTACTGAAGGGGGGACATGGAGATATCTTATTGGACTCTGTCCTGAACCTGGGGGATCTGACAGCATCTCCGGCTGTAGATGGTGTCAAAATTGAGTTAAATTATAGGACACACAATTGGTAACACAGATTTGCTTGGTATGAGAAAAACCCACACATACCTGGTGTCAGAATTGTTGAGAGTGTGGTAGTAATGTGACAGGAAAGGAAAAACAAAGGAGGAATGAGGTTTTCTTCATGGGTAGAAAAACTTAAAATTCCAAAAAATTTTGGAGGGTATCAGACTTTTAGAGAAGAATGCATGACCTAAAGTTCCAGACTTAACCCTCATTTTTTAAGACTCTGCTCTGCAATACATATGGCTATTTAAATTAACAAAAATTAAATAAAATCAGTTTCTTTGTCTCGGTATCTATCATACTGGACAGCTCAGAAAACATTTCCACCAACGCAGAAGGTTAATACACACGGCTGTTCTGGAGCAGAGGTTCATAAGCTTCCTATAAAGGACCAGATAATATTTTAGGGCAACTACCCAGTTCTACAGTTGCAGTGTGAAAGCAGTTATAGACAGTATGCCAACAAATATACATTACTGGGTTCCAAGAAAACATTATGGACACTGACATTGGGATTCCGTAACATCTTCAGTGTCACAGAATGAAAAAATTTCTCCCAGTCATTCTAAGCTGTAGGTCCTTTCCAAAACGGATGGCAGGCTAGAAGTGGCCTGTGGGCTGTTGCTAATCCCTATTCTAGAGAATGAAACTCAAGCCTTGAGAACTGGTAGCTCTTCAGTGACAGATTCGTGGCCAGTACCAACATGTCTCTCTGAAAAATTCCATATTATTAATACCCGTGCCTGTAGCAAGTTTTATCATACAGACTTAAATTCTGCATCTTTCAGAGGACTAAGGTGACTTTAGTAAATTATCAGTAGTAGAATAGTCTGAGTTTGGTTGGTTGGTATGTATATTTTTTGCATGGGTTACTTTTATCATAGGGGTTCTCTCCACTTTTACACCAAAGGGAGAGGTTCTGTGAATGAACAGCAGTCCTCAGTTTCAAGCAGAGCCTCATTACAACCTCAGTCCTAGGTAGTGAAGTAGAAATGGCTCCTAAGGAATGAGGAAAATGTTTGATATGAGTAGCTGGGGTTTAAAATCTGGGATCTCAGGTCGTCTGAGCATACAGATTACCTTCCTGACCCTGGTAAGGCTACCCAGGAGCAGATAGAGGCTGCCATGTTGCTATACTTGAAAAGGGATAATTCATTTGGTGTTTGCCTGTGTTTAGTACCCCAAGAGGTTTCAATGGCTTAATCATCCACATTAAAATAATTTAATGGGATTTCCTACTTGATAAGTGAAGTTAATTAGTCACCTATGACTCCCTGTTGATTTGATTTTTTTATTTCCTGTTGAGTCTAAGAAGATGAAGTGAAATATTTCAAAGTAGCTTTTTAGTAATTCTTTCCCTTTCTCTATTATCCTTTTCCCATGCTGTGATGGAAACTGAAATTGGACTGGCCCGCTTATTGGTCTATAAATATCCAAGCTGCCACCACCTGCAATAGGTGGCTGTTAGTAAACACAGGTTCCCCTCTTCATTACTCTGAAGTTTCAGGCCCCAGTCCTATAACCATAGTAAAAGGAAAAACTAAAACAGGGTGAGTAGGGGTCCCCAAGTATTGAATGCTATTTCTGGTACATGTCAATAGATTATTTCCCCTTTGTTTTTTTCATTGAAGTATCGTTGATATACAATCTTTTATTGGTTTCAAATATGCAACACAGTGGCTCAGCAGTTACCCATATTATTAAATCTTCACCCTCACCAAAATTACTTCTCTTCTTTCAGGGTTGACAGAAACTGCTGTCAATAGACTTTTGCATTGAAGTTTTGGATCATGTCTCAAATTTTAATGAGGAGAACAAAACCAGAGGAATAAATTCTACTGGCCCCAAAGGGACACAAAAAGGTGGATCAGTGCCTAGGAGTTCACACAAAACAACGTGGTAAGAGCAACTAATTAAGAACTTTAAAAGAGTGACAGTGACTCCTGTGGATCTTGTTTAATTGGTGCTTTATGAACAGCTCCAGTTAATGGACCTGTCGATAATTCTCTTGGAAAACAATTTCACTGAATTAACAAATCAACTGTAATACTTAAAATGTCTGCTTAGCAGCATCTTTCTCTTTACTACTATTTAGGAACACTTAATGAGCCAATTTGCTGGGTCATATATTTGTCAATTTAGTATCCTAAGATCTGGTTCAAAAGGAACCCCTGTTTCTCTGGGCCTCCCTATTCTCCAGTAAAAAAGCCCTTTGAGGTATGAAGATGTTGTGTACTGCTGTTAAGGGTAACTTTACCACCTGGGAAAGAGGTGATGAAAGGGACCTTGACATTTATTTTATTTTAGAATAGTTGTAGATCTATAGAGAAGTCACTAAGATAATAGTTTCCGTGTGCCCCACTCTGTTTCCCCCATACTAATATTGATACTAATACATTAACTATTAATTACTCATAATTATAGTACAGTACATTTGTCACCATTAATGGGCTAATATCAATATATTATTATTAACTAAAGTCTCTGGCATTTCCTTAGTTTTTCCCTAATGTCCTTTGTCTGTTTCAGGACCCCACTGAAGATACTATACATTCAGTTATGTCTTCTCAGGCTCCTTTTGGCTGCGACAACTTCTTCGACTTCCTTGTTTTTGATGACCTTGAGTTTTGAGTTAGGTATTTTGTAGAAAGTCTCAGTTAGAATTGGGTTTTTCTCATGATTACGCTAGGCTTAAGGGATTTTGAGAGGAAGACCACAGAATTAAGGTGCCACTCTCATCACATGTCCAGTGTATATACTATTAGCATGACTGCCTACTGTAGATATAACCTGGATCACCTGGCTGAAGTCTTATTTCCTGTGTTTCACCACTGTTAAGTTCTCTCCCCTCCCTCCCCACCCCCCATACTGTGCTCTTTGTAGTGAAGTCACTATGTGCAGCCCACACTTGAGAGGGGAGTTGTGCTTTCCTTGAGGGTGGAATGTCTACATAAGTTACTTGGAACTCTTCAGAAATAATTGGTCTTTTCTCCATTTATTCCATTTATTTATGCCACTATAGACTCATGGATATTTATTTTATACCTTGGGAAATAATCCAATAATACTTTGTTCACTGTTCCAGCTTTGGCCATTGGGAACTCTTCGTAGACTCATTGTGGAATTGTTTTTAAGCACTGAGAGGCGCCTTATGGCACTATAACGTGCTCCAGGCTCATCTTGTATCTTTCCTGTTCCAATCCCAGAGTCAACTACTCATCCAAGGAGCACTGGTTCCTTTATTGGAGAATGGTACCAGAACCAAGGTCTGGACACTAGATGTGCTTTTGATACTGAGGTGTTTTGTTGTGGCTTCAAGGCCCTATCCGCTAACAGAACAATGAAATACGTACGTATGCTAACCAGGATCCTTAGTTCACTGTCCCCTATATTCTATAAATATTATATTTTCAGTATTCAACACATTTTATTCCATGGTCTTTGTTTACTCTCTTTCGTCTGGAATAATGGTTGAGACTGTTTTGTAGCAGATGCTATAGTCCCTAAATAACTGATTATTTTTATCCTGTGAGCTCACAGTTGAGGTATCAGCTGCTGTTAGAAGGAAGGAGCCAAGCCCCGGCCCTAGTGTCCTAATGAATTGGAGAGTGAAGATCCCCTCAAGGCACAGAGCCTCTGAGTTAGGATCTGAACTTCACCAGAGTGGCAGACAGTGGAATTTCGCCATCCCCTCAGTGTAATCTCTATAGAGGAGAACTTGAGGGGCTCAGGTTACAGTGTGCTGGCCACCCCAGCCAGAGGTGGGTTGGACATGAGGCAGTGAACAGGAAGGGGAAAAGATGAAACAGAGAAGTTCTGTCGCAGCCTATACTACCCCAGCTCCTGTGGCACCGTCTACTCTTTTCTACACTGGGCTTCCAATTCTTATCCCTGTGTAACAGGACCCACTTGAGATCCGTTCTTCCAGAGGACTGCTCATACCCTAACTTCTCTCTTACTTGTCTAATATCTCCAGGGCTGAATTAGAGGAAGAGACAGTAACCTATGCTGATCACATCTCTGGTCGGAGGGCTGGTCATTTAACTCACCCTTTGGGTTTATTGCTTTTACTAACTGAACTCTATGCTAGACATTAGGGATAAGTTAGGAACAAGACCCAGCCCTGCTCACCTTATCATGGCCTGTCTGGCCTTGCACGGGCTAGCCCTTACCTCTCTCACCTCCTCATCCTTACAACCCTGATTCCCTAATGGCCACACTGGTTTCTGTCAGTCCTTGATAAGCGTTTTGCTGCTAGGGCTCTACACGTGCTGTTTCTCTTCCTGGTTCCATCTTCTTCACTTTGTCTACCTTGAGATCCCAGCTCAGACCATACTTCTGCAGAGAAGCCACTTGGTCTGAGTACCTGAATGCTTATATATGTCATTACACCATGTTTTACCACAGAGCGAGACAGATGCCATGTAAGGGTCCTTTGAAGGTATTATTTACCCGCTTTATTCCAATACAGCTAAGCAGCTTCAATTCTACTGACAGCTGACTAAAGACCCTCAGCTGGTAAATGTTAATAATGTACCCAAAATAGATTAAGGCCTTAGGCATAGCTTGCTTTTTCAATAATTTCAGTGTTACCTTACCCCAGTAAGTAAGGGTAACAAAAGTGCTGTTTTTTTTTCTTTAACATTTTGAAACAAAAAGTCATAAAAGCAAAGGTGTCCAATTTCCAAATTATTTGCTAGTGGGCACTAGAGATACAACATACTGCACAGCTATTAGAAACTAAATTTAGCCTCAAGAAGTATTAAATTAAAATAATGGATTTGCAGAGGGTTTATTCAAACTTGAGGCATTTGTTAACTAAACTATATGTGTGAGCTTTTGTTACTTTTTTTGGTAATCTGTAAATGTCTATAGTTAGGAAAATTTGTAAAACATCTAAAAATTTAAATTACAGAACATTTCTTATTAGCAGTCATTACACTGACAAGTATGTGCTAGATTAAAACTTAGGCTATAACTAGACTTAAGTGGATAATTTTTAAGATATTCTGGGACTATAGAAATGAATAACCTTTGAAACTATACTTTTGTCATTTTAGGATATTCATGTAAATATACTGTTGGGCATGTGGCACCATAGGACATTGACAAAATCTACTGCATGTTAACCAGTGTGCCAGAACTGAATTCATTCTACGTATCTCAGTCCTTTCAACAGCTCTACAAGGTACATGACTGATGGCTGTTACTTAGTCAAGGTCACACAGTGAATAGGTCCAGGAACTACTGTGGTGTTTAATTAATCTGGCTCCAAAGCTAGTGTTTGGTTTGGGGCTTGCATGTATGGTGCCTCAAGTCTTCCCAACTAATTCTCATAAATACTTGCTTCTTCAGTTATCAGCTTCATTCAGACTAACATCTTTCAGGGGCCAAAACGCCTGTCTTCTTACTTCTGGTCTCTTAAATCTATGCCAGATGCCAAATACCTTATTTCAGGCCATCGGTATCTTGGCCACTTTTACTATAGCTTGAGAAGGCTTTCTTTTGTTCTTAACATACACAGAGCAGACATAGCCTTTAGCCTTGCTTTAAAAGGAGTCCCCATCTTCTTGAGTCTTTCTCTCATATCACCCATGAGTCTCTTAGGTTTTTTCAAAGGCCTGGAAGGCCTTAATAGGTCACACACATCCCCCACCCAGTCTTGCCCTTTGATAGAGTTTATCACATTTTATTATAGTTCTTCAATGTGTGCCCTTCTAAACTGTTCAGTGAGGGTCAGAATAAGAGTATCAAAACATTAAAAAATTCCTCAAAGATTTACATGTTCAGAAGAGTGAAGTTGGGTTCCCATTATAGTTTCCTGTAAATAGTGGCGTACCTGTTAAAGACTTACAATAGATACACATTGTAAACAAACCATTCCATAATAATACAACACAGAAAAGTGAATCATAGATTACTTCAAGACTATTTGCAATGAACTGATTTCAATAAAAATTACATAATGCTACTTGCTAAAATGTCCTTTGCTAAAATTGGTGAGTCAACATTCATTCCTAACCTATTCAGTGTATCTTTTCCAGAAGCCTGTGTGTTACTTAATGTGGAAACCCCAAAAATATTCTTTTTAGAAAAGAGAAAGAGCTTTTGTTCAGTGGTACCATCAAAGGTAATTAGGCAAGAGAATGTGTAAATGGAGAAAGGTAAAAATCACTTGTAGATGGTGAGTTTACTTAGAAATATGACTGTGGGTGTAAACTGAAAATAAATAGTTCATTGAAATAGCAAGTTTTCGATTTGAAGGTGAATTGGAAAGAAAATGAAGCAAGGAATAGTTATGCGGCCTTGTATAAGTTACATATGAAGAAAAACAAAATACTGACAGACAAAATGAGACCTTCTGTAGTAAATAAGTCATACCATGCCTAAGAAATGTCAACATAAAGATAATCCTAAAGAAAATGGTAAATTTATAAAAATCTTAAAAGAAATAGGATTATTTTTGGAACTAGACACATTGATTCTAACAGTCATATAGAAAAATAACATTGTGCAAATTTAGAGTCATAAAGGAAAACTAGCCCTACCAGATATAACATCACAGAAAGGATAAAACAGGGTACTGGCACCCAAATAGATTGCTCAGTGGATGGAAACAGATAAGGAAGTCCAGAAATAAACTCTGACACCCAAGTTATATTTAAAAGGTACAAGAAGAAAACATGCAGTTTTTTCTTTATGTAATTGTGTGTAGTGGCTTTGCCTTCTAAGTTAAAATCAAAATGAAGAATTATTGAATAAATGATCTGAGTAAATTTTTAAAATTCAGTATGGAAAAACACCATGAACAAAAAACCAAAACTGTTAAAAGATGTTTGCCAACAACTAGTTTTTTTCTGTTTAATACAGCTCCTATAAATCAAAAAGTGAAAGTTCATCAACTCAGTAAATTGGCAAAAGATAATAAACACTTCAAAGATATTTGACCACAGCTAATGCAAATAAAATTCACATTTGGAATTCCATTTTCCAGCAGATTTTCAAGTAGATTTGGTAACAGTTATCAAAGAAATGGAACAGGCACTCATTTGTCTGATCGCTTTTGCACTATAATTGCAGAGACTGTAAAGCCCACAAGTTGAAAATATTTGGCTCTCTACAGAAATTTTGCCTGACCCCTGCTCTAGAACAGCACCGTATAATAAAAATTTCTGCAATGACAAATGTCTATAAGCTGTCAGCTAGCTAAATGTAGTTTATGGAATTGGACAGTGGACAGCATAGCTTTAGAAAATAAGTCTTAGTTTAATGTATCACTGCATGACAAACCACTTCAAAACCTAGTGGTATTAAAAATCTGGGTTGATTTGGCTCAGCTGGGTGGTTGTGTTACATGTGGATTTGGCTGGGGCTCTAGCCATCTGGCATCTTCACTTTGGCTGGCACTTGGTACTGGCTGTCACCTGGGAGCTCACCTAGGGCTGTACACTGAAGCGCCTTGGTTCTTTCTATAGGCCTTTTCATATTGGAATTCTCACAGCATGGTATCTGGGTTCCAAGTGGATGAAAGCAGATCTTAAAAGTCACATCTGCATTCTATTGGTCAAAGCTAGTAACAGCCCTTCCAGATGCACTGCTTAAAAGAGCCACTGGTAGACAGTTTTCTGTTTTTAAATAACCTGAAGTATAGAAATGACCTGGTTTCAGGGTGTTAAATTATTGAGAAATAACTAGATGGTAGACTGCCAGGAGATTGAGACCACAACTCTGCTGAAGGGCAGTACAGTGTAGAGTTCTGGGTTTGGATGTATATAGAACTGGGTTTAAATTCTGGTTTTGTCACTGTTTGGCTGTGTCACCTTAAGCTTCTTAACACTCAGTAATACAGGAATAATGGTACATTACTCTCAAAATCATGATGATTATGCATTATCAGCTGCTCAGCGATTGTGTAGTATCTATCTACACATTGTCACGTCTCCTCTGCTCAAAACTAGAAGGTCTCACCGTGAGCTCGTATTTGTACCATCCTGGTGTTTAAAGCTGTACCAAACTTGTCACTTAAACCTTTCAAAGTCTCAGCAGAAATTCTTGCTTTGTAGCCTCATTCTTTATAATCTCTGGTTTGCATCACACCCTCTCCCAAGTAACCAAAATATAACTAGAACAATTGATCATCTCTGTTTACAGCCAGGCCCACCTTGAGGCCAGACTCCTTGTCCAGTCTCCTTCATCAGACCAGGATCTTCAAGAGCTGGCGATTTGTCTTACCCATCATTGTATCCCCATGCTTGTACAATGTCTTTCATGAAACAGGCATTTGATGACTGAAATCTTACATTAACATTGGTTTCCAATGTGCCTTTTTGCTAATGAGCCACTAAGTTGATCCTCAATAAATAATTACTCAATTGAAAAAGCTTGACATTCCTTCTCCATATGATCACCAGATGGCATTACAGCCTTGTACAAAAGCGTGGGTAAGTGCCTCTGAACTATGATGCATTCGTGTTACTTCCCCCAGAATAAATAGCAGAGCCTCTTGTTTCATCTAAAAGCAGGAGACAACATAAAGGGAAGTGTTAGCTAAGGTTAGTTTGAATCAAAGGCTCACAAAATTGAGAGCAGATCTGCTTTCAAATGAAAGGAAGATACAAGATTCACTTAAAAATTAGGATTCAATTTTTCGTTTGAAACCTAACTCCATAGTGGGCTTTAAACATCACTTATTCAGGGGAGCCCCGGTCCTTGATGAATTGTATTGAAATCCTTCTCAAAGCCTGTAGAAAATCATGACATGCATGGAGATGTGTGATTGCAGTACCACTCTTCAGAATGGCTATCTTAGAAGTTTTCCCTCCTGCAAGTCTAGCCTTCAACAGATCACTTACACTTAATCACAGAGAAAACTCAAGTCACCTGACTATAATTCCCATGTCTTCAGCCAAACCTAATGAGCATTCAGCACTGTCCTCCAAACCCATTAAAATAAGGGCAGGCCTCCTGTCTTGGGATCCCATTCTTTTAGGAACATATATTGTGAATCCTTCCCTGTTTTTTCAATCAATCTTTTCCTAAGATGACCTAACTGCTAACATGTTAATTGAGCATTAAACTCCCGTGGTAAACAAAAAAACCTTCCTCAACCCTGCTTTCTCCAGTCTCCATACCCAAACCTTTTCTGCCTTGGGGTAGTTTCGACTTTCCATGCACTCAGCATCTCAGTCGGACTTCCTCTCCCACTTGACTGGGAGCAACGCAATAATGTTTAAACGATGATGTCCCTGTTGCTAAGTCATTTGTAGATGTTTCTAGTCTGATCTTGATCCCTTGATAGTATTTGACCCTGTTGATTGCTTTGTCCTTGAGGTATTTTGGCTGACAAGGCAACACGATGTCTCTGCCTTCGCTTCTTCCCCTATCTTATCTTTTTTTTTTTTTTTTTTTTTTTTTT